AGCCCTCTCTAAGCAATTTACATAATCAGCATATTGCACCCAATAATCTGGGTCCTCATTTTACTGACTTTGGAAGGATGGAAGGCTGAGTCAACTTTGAGTTACTCACAACCAGGAGTTCACATCGAACTCCTGGCTGTGGGCAGAGACAGCCTGCAATACTGCATTCTAAGCACTGTGTTATCACAGAAGGCCATTTGAAGATAAGCAGTGCTGGTTTTATGAATTTGATGTCACTCTATATCATTGGATGCAAGTATGTTTGTGTAGTGTAGATAGAAATCATACCGATAACTGCAGAGAATGTGCTCCTGTGGGGACAACACCAATCTAAAATGCAATTGGGGTTTAGAATTAGTTTTGAGTCCTTTAAATCTTGGCCATAAATCTGCAGCAGCAGTCACTCAGTGCTTCTCACATTTTTGCTCCTGAAAAAAAAAAAAAAAAAAGCTCCACTTTTGATAGATTTCATTTTCAAAATGAGTGCAATACTGGTTTTGTTAATCTGTTTACAGCTTTCAAGTACAGGATGATTGCTATGAAACAGCTCTTGAAATATTACTCCAAAGATATGTTTACCATCTTACAGATGAAACACCCAACCAACTAGATTGTCAGAGTTTTTTTTTTATAATCATCAAGAAGATTAAGAATATAAATCAATTTTTTTCTTCATGTTTATTACCAGATTCCTCTGGAGAGTTTGTCTGTTGGTACAATCAGCAATTAGATTTTAAATTCTAGCTCTTTGAGATGCACATTTTAACCATATATTAGTGGCACAAAAGGGGATAACCAATACAATATCCTGTAATAAAATATGATTACAAATGCTTGGCAGTTCAAATGGAGTCCTAAAAAACTATGTGAGTGTGAATGCAGGTAGTTAAAATGCAAACAAATCAAAATCTTCCCTGTTCAGAGTTAAGAGCAGTTGCTCAGGTTTCATGCTAGGTTTGCTCCTATGGGAAGAAATATCCATCTGGTTCAGTTCCAAACTGGGAGAAAGACACTGGAAACATGGAGGCTGATTGGAACGGTTTAATGATGAACAGAACCAGACACAGCTGATCACATGGAGTTGAGAGTGAGTGGTTTTCATACCTTCCTTTGGGCTTTGTATTTGAGCTTCCTGTTCCTGTGCAAGAACATGTATTCTATTAGCTGTTGTCAGATTCCTATGGTGTTATGTAGGGGCCATGTAGGGGTTAGAGCTGGCTCTATAAGCAAAGTAGAAATCCCATGAGCTAAGTTTGGTTGAAGTTTGGACTGCTAAGGGTGATGCAATGAAGGCTTGTATTCTGAAAGGGTGGGCAACTTCTATTGTGGCTTAATGACTTTGTCCTGGAGCTGAAGGTCTTTTATAGAAAAGCTGGCCCAGACTTTCTTAATGGGCACAAAATATCAGCTGGGGGCTATTAAGAAAGCTGGGGGCTGCTTTCTGTGTCCAAGAGCACATTTCTCCATCCCTCCTTTAGAGAAATATAATATTCTTCCTTTTTAATATTTCCTAAAATATTTCATTCTTCTAGGAGAGGGGTGGGTGCTAACTTTCTAGACTCCATAAAAATCAAAGCTATCTTTTTTGCTGTTCCTTCTGCCATCATGCTACCAATACATATCAGAGGTGGGTTCCTATCAGTTCGGCCGTAGTAACTCAGCCTGCCACGCCCCCGAACTGGTTCTATTGTCAGTACCACCATCTTGATTTTCTGTTCTGTACATGCACATTCTTAGAAAAAAATAGGGAAAAAAAATTGCAAGTCAAACCAGCAATAATGCTGGCAGTAACCCATCCCTGATGCATATATATATATGATAGATTCCATTTGTATCTAGGGAAAACTTACTTTTTAAAAGGGTCAGCTCCAAACCTCCTCCTCTGAGTGAAGCAGCTGCTACTTAGTGGGTCAAACAATTATTACGAATAAGAATAGGTAAATGTTTGTCACCAGTCTGATGAATAAACATTGCCTTCTTTTTCTGAAGATAAGCCCTGGATTCTTTTCTTGATATTGTCACTAGAAACTTGTCTGCGTTAAGATTTAACATCTGCTGATGTATTATACTCATTATCTGTGAGGCCGAGAGAAAGAAGTTACCCAACTATTATTCAATTATTCACACACAATAATAAATCTTCCAAATAAAATCCTGTTATGCATCATTTTATCCCACCAGTGCAATTCTTTACGAAGTTAAACTCTACAGTCAGGCAGAACCCACCAATATTTTAAAAACAATATTTCAAATCATGATAAAAATATGATGAGTAATTGACCAGTAGTTGGAAGGGGGGAGGGGACAGAAGGGAAGACATGAGGCAGCTGAATAACATTCTGTGCTACTTATGAGAAAGAGAATCACTTTCTCAGCATATAGAAAGAAGAGAGGGAGAGGGAGGGGGAGAGGGGGGGAGAGGGAGAGAGGAAGGAAGAGAGAGAGACAACACAGGGATAAAAGAAGGGATTTTATTGTCTGGAGGTGGCCTTAGAGATGGGCAATGCAAACATTGCACAGAATATGTGGGGTTGGCCTTCTGAATAAAATTCTTGTGAACTCCATTTACAGCAACACCGAATAGAGAAGGTATAGAGCTCTCCAATGACAAAACATAAAGACTTTTACCAGTGTTAGTAGTTTAATCTCACTGCTCCTTGCATTGAGCTTTTGGGCATCAAAATATTTTCTGTGTCTCATCTAATTATGATTACAACCTTTTAATATAATTTGTATTTTTATTGTTAGTGTGTGTGTACCCGGTTTCCCTGAAAATAAGACCTCTCCAGATAATAAGCCCAATCAGGCTTTTGAGTGCCTGTGCTAAAATAAACCTTCCCCCGAAAATATTGCAACAGAGCAGCAGCCATGAGGTGACCAGCCGTCTCCTGCACCTCAAAAATAATAAGACCTCCCCGAAAATAAGGCCTAGTGCTTATTTTTGGGAAAACATGGTATGTGTACATACATATACATGTGCACATATGCGTAGAGTTATACACATACATTATGCATACACATACACATAGACACACACACACACATACATAGTAGCTGATTAAGGGTCATTGGTGCGCTAAGCACTGAGAAATCTTGGTGCCCCTCCTTTGTACATACTGTACAAATCTTCATTTATTTTTTTTCCTCAACTCCAAAGGTATCTTTACCATCTTACAGATGAAACACCCAATGAACTAGAGATGCCCTTTGGGCCTGGTGCCCTAAGCACGTGCTTAGTCTGCTTAATGGTTAATACACCATTGCATGTACATATATCAGAGTATGGTGTTTGAAAGTTTGGGAGTAAAGAATCACTTGTTGAGATGGGCAGCTATAGTAATCAGATGAACAAATAAGCAAGCAAGCAAGCAAGCAGAGAGGCTGAAATTCTACAGGAAGGGTGCTAGATCCAAATTCAGAATTGTTTTCTGACTTCAGCTTATTAAATTATGCTTATTAAATAAAAAGTTACTTCCATTCTCATGATATTTATCCCTTCTTTCACTTGTGTACAGAGGACACTTATATACATTTATTATTCAAGCCCATGCTGATGCTTGGCACACATCTCATCTTTCTCAAAGAAGTCTTGATAGAGACTTATAGGATGCATTTAATTTCATTTGCAGATGATGAATAAGCATACAGAGTTGGAGATCTGGGTTATAAAATACAATGGAGTAGTGAATCAAATGCTTTAGTGCTTTCAGTGAGTCACCCTATGTTGTGTCTCACAGGTCAGGAGATTGAAAGCAGCATGTCTTCAACCGTCAGTAGAACCAAACTCTCTCTCTCTCTCNTGAATGGAATATATGTGATTGTGGAAAGAACACATGAAATGTACTTGTAACCAATGGATACGCTTTGTACAAGATGTAATGAAAGATGATTCTTTTCTTTTTGTGTTTTTTCTGTAATAAAACTAATAATTTTTTAAAAATAAATAAATTTCTAGAGCATCTGAATTGTGTCCACTAAAATATTCAATTTATGATGAAAGAGAAGAATGTCCAACTTATATTTTTGGATGTTCTAATCATTAAATAATAATAATAATTTGAACATATAGTATACTAAAAACCAACATGTATTTGGTTTTAATTCTATTTAATTTACTATTAATTCTAACCTCATCTCCTCCAGCGAAGGAGATGATCATACCTTACTTACTGATCATACCTTACTTATTTGTAATCTGAAAAGATTACTGGATGAGTTAAGATATCCTGACTTTACCAGCTAATGGTTCCTCTGGTGGCGAGATCACACAACTGATCATACCTTACTTATTTGTAATCTGATCATACCTTACTGATCATACCTTACTTATTTGTAATCTGAAAAGATTACTGGATGAGTTAAGATATCCTGACTTTATCAGCTAATGGTTCCTCTGGTGGCGAGATCACACAAGCGATGCAATCCAACAATAAAAACAGCTTCACATATACATCAAAGAACAAACTATATACCCAGAATAGGAAAGATGGTTCTCCTTTTTATTGAGAAAATTACAAACCAAACTGAACATTACTGGAGAGATACAACTTAGAAACCATCTACAAACCAATGTGAAAAATCCAATAAATTATTCATTCACTTAAGGATGGCAGAAGTCATCTTTCATCATCGGAAGTTTGTTACAAACCTTGCAATTGTACACAGGTGTGTATTGGAACTAAAAAAAACATTCAACTAAAAAAACATAAGAAATATTACAACTTGAAAATCAGTGGTAACTGAATACCCACTGCTACATAATGGGCATAGATTCAATTGAAAGACACACAAGTATTAGCAATCATGTCAAATTGTCATGCACAGTTAGAGAGAGAGAAGCTATTGAGATTTATAAACACTTCCAACATTAACAAGAAAGTCTGAATGTTAACAAAACCTGGTTTCCAGTTTTATATCACTCTAAAAAAAAAAGCCCTTGATTAACCACACTTTATAGAATCTTCAATGGTCTTACCTGAAATAATAATAATCAGTAGCTGGTTACGGACAGACCAATAAAAAAATTAGTCCCTTTGGAACTTGTTAAAATCATACCAATTACAAATTCGCTTGTATAAAGAACCAATCAGAAACTGGCTTTCCAGTGACATCCAATTAGAGATTAATTCTATTACAAATTCAAGAACTCTGTCAGTTTCTGCTCAGTTGCCTGTGATCACTTTACCTCAGAAAATACCAGCCATTGTTGCTGGTGAAATGTCAATAAACCAGATAATTAGTCATGGCTTATAAGGGCAGAAGCTTGGCCCCATTGGATTGATACCAGTAATGAAAGTTTGAATTGTTAATATTTGTGATTCAAATGCTGGAATGGTGCAGGTTTCATTGATTTCTGCATTTGTGCATTCCCACACACCCCCACCTCCTTTTTGCCTTTGCTTCATAGCAAAAGAAAAAAGGTCTAGGGCCAGATTTCCGCCTTCCAGGCATTAACTGATTAAGCTGGTTGCAGAACTGTAATTCAACCCTGGCTGCAAGTTAGAAAGTTTAAAGAATAGCACAACTAGCATTAAACTCTCAAGGGAATTTTGGACTTTTCTTTTTCGGTGAACAGTTCCCTATTTCAAATTATGGCATATTGCAGGGAACTCCAGAAGTGGTTTCTGATATGGCCTAGGAACCAGTTTCTAACAGAAAAGGAAAGAAGTCAAATACTCTTCTGGGAGCACACAAGCCCTTGGAATCAGCTAAAGTATCTTGGTTCCTTGTTTAAGGTTTTGTGTTACACAACAAGAGTGGTTCTGCTCTGAGGTTTATCGATCGTCATTGCTTTGGAAGCTTGGTTTTAGGTTACTTGGAAGAAATCTTCCCCATGGTATTGATTCATCATTTCCTATAGCATGTAACACAATTTCCATAATTAAGCCAACTGGATTGTGTGTTAAACATTTTTCCTAGCATACAGGCACCTCTGGCAACTATACTCCTTGATCCCTGATGTCTTGTGTGTGTAGCACACTGTAAACAAAATTTATATATGTTACTCTGATTACTATAATCAGTAATCCTATTATTAGGACTGCGGCTCTTGATTTTGTGCAGTGGGTTTTTGGTACTCTTTTGGATTATGGTTATAAGAATTTCATGAAAGAATCATAAGGATTCTAAATCTGTGTTGGCTAAAATAGCCAAGAGAGAGAGAGAGAGAAAGAGAGAGAGGGGGAGGGAGGGAGGGAGGGAGAGAAGGCTTGCATTTTTACTGCTAAATTATATCTGCAAGTCTCCCCCCACCCCGCCCCCAATCTCACTGATCCTTACAGTTGAATTCTGATGAAGGTAGTTGTAAGGCTCCCCTCTTAAATAATCCACTCTAGTGGCTTCTGAATAAATAAGTTACAATTGGATGGCTCTACATATAATATGTAATAGCTGGAAATAACCTTGTAAAACAAGGTACTGGCTGTAGATGTGCCTCCAGCCAAGAATCTCTAAGTCGTTTGGCTATTTATAACATAGAGTTATCATAATCTCTTCCTGATTGTTTAATATCATTTTGGTTGATTCAGTGACATGTAGAAGCAAGAACGAGTAGCATAATAATGCAACGACAGAAGAACTGCCTGCTCTGAGTTACAACTATGTCCCTTTTAACTGATTTGTGCCTTTTATCAGTGATCTGTCTTCCTATTTTGCAAGGGAAGTGCAACCTTGGGCTGCAAATGTACATTTTAATCCTTTTCATACATCCGTTGGAAGCAGTCCATAGACTTTATCGAAGGGCACTAAAGCTGCTTGGTCTATTTCTGATAATGCATAGTAGGTACCGTTATAATTTGTCTTTATTTGCCTTCGTGCAGCTAAGGCGGACTTACACAAGACTGCATCGATGATTAGGCTGTTTGTACTGTGGAGAAAAAAAACTCTTTTCATTAATGAAGCTGCAGACCCTAAGAAATGTTATTGTCATAAAATAATCTGCAAGTTACTTTCCAATAATCAGGAACCTTAGAATAACTATTGAGATGACTACTCCCAAGGTCCTTGATTTCTAAGAAGTTATGAATAGCACAGAGCCTATCTGTGCTCAGATTTCCAAAAAGCGCTTCACAAGGGATTATGCATCTTTCACAGTAAGCTTTTGAGGCCCTGGGTTATCTGAACCTAACTTTACTGTAGGATGAATATGGATATAAATAATTAATATGAAGAAAGAAATTTACTTAAATGTATGAAGTATCAGAGTAAGCCATCAGTATAATAAATCAAGAAAATATTTCCATGTTGAACTTTATTTCATACTTATTTTTAATGAAAATGAAACAAGCATGTATCACAACAAAATTCTTGATTTTATGACCTCTGCCTAAAATAGAACTCTGCCTGCCATGTATTTTGCCTGCTTCTAACCAGAATTGACTTTTATGTAAAGAAAAGATAGAGTATTCATATAGCAAAATAAACTGGGGAAAGTGTTAAAGCAAGAGAAAAAAAAAGCTTAAGGCTTAAAAGTTTTGGTGTTCAAAATTCTTAATAGTAATAGCCTTATTTGAACAAAGAAAACATGCACTGTAACTGTCTGAAGAAAACATCACAATTTACATCAGGAGAAAAAAAATGGGCATGATTAAGCCAACGTACACATTTAACTGTATTGACTGGAAAGTAATTAAATATGTATTTAAAGATTAACCAAAGATCTGATTCAGTTTCTTATCTATGTATAGCCTTCCCCTGCATATTTCCTTACTCTCATGAGACATGCTGCTGTTACTGAGTGGGAGTGGGAGATGTTTCAGCAGAAAACTCCCCATCTTTTTTGAAGGAAATGGAGGATGCAATGGGCACATGCTCATGCCTGAAATGTTCATCTTTTGCTGGATTTTGTGCCTTTATAAATTATAATCTGCCCTGTTAGTAGCTCACATTTGTTTGTACTTATTAATCAAAGCTTAAGAAATATAGGAGAATTAACACTCCATTTACATTTTTCCCAGAATATACAGTATAAATATAAGAAGAACCATGCCAGAAAACTATATGCAAAATTTGCACACTATTATTGCATGCTTGTGATGATACTACATGCCAAATAGTATTAGCTTATTAGCTTTCAAATTGATCCTAAGCTGAACTTCAGATCTTTTATTGTAGATTTCATCAGTCCTTAAAAAGGGAAGAGTATTATCCCAGAGTACGTGTAGCTGTAAAGAAACCCAGTCACCAAATATTATTTAAATGCATTTGCTTTTCTGCCCCCAATTAGATACAATGGCAATTCAAGTAATGCCTAAAAAGTTTGTTCCTGTTATGTAAATCGATCGGAATTCATTTTTCTCAGCTTTCGGGGAAGGTTTCCCTCCATTCTGCCTCCTCCTTCTCCGGATAACTTTTGAAGTTTTGGTGGCAAGTCTGCCATAGATTGGCTCATAGGGTCTGATAACATTTTTGTGGTCTTAGATATCAGTTTCTCTTCTGAGTTTCCAGGGACAGAACTTATTCGCTGAAGTTTCATAGGAAGATCCCCCATGCTATAGGCTTTTTCTGAAGTAGTAGAACTCATTCTTAACAGTTTTTTAGGAAAGTCTTCCCTTCCAGTCATTTTCTGTAGTTTGGAGGGTATCTTTGTACCAATGTCATCAAGGCCATCTAGACATTCTATAGAATTATTCCTTTCTTTACTGTTCCCTACAGCTGGTGCTATTAAAGGGGAGGACATAAGCAGCATTTCTTCCTGTTCTTTCACACTGTAAGGTGGAGTAGGAACTTCAAAGGTTGCATGGAACTGGGAGTAGTCTACTTTGAAAAATCCTTCTTCTAAGGAAATGACAGGGAAAAAACGATGACCCCAGAGAACCTCATCTTCTGTGTATGATGTTCTGGCTTGACAAGTCATTCCTGCAGTCAAAGAGCAAACACAAAATTAGCGAATGAGTTGGAAATAACATTATCTACACATAAAACACATTTGGTTTGATTTCCAGCTCTCTGGGCATAATTTCCAATAATATCAATGGAATGTGTTGGGTGCCCATGTACATGTAACACATGACAATTGTTTCTTCTGAGAATTTTTGCCAAATTGTTCTATAACAATTGTAAGTTAGGGACATTCAACTCCATTTCTGTAAGGCTGCCCTCTTGTTTCACTGCATATGTGCAATATTTGGAATTGTTATAAAATTTACTTTAGTTAAAAGACAAAACAAAAACCATGCTGAAAATACATTGAAAAAAATTACATGAATCCTTAGGTAAAAACTATAAATCAGGAGGAAGCAAAAGACAGTCTCTTCTAAAGGAACTGGGTACTGCAATTGGAGTTACATGACTGATATTCTGTGAATTCATAGATAGATTAGGCATCTGGATGGGTGAATAGATAATCCATTGAAAGTTCAGTTTATTAATCCAATTTAAATGTAGCTAGTTAAAATCTATAACTGGTACCATAACTAAGTCAGATCTCGTTTGACCACATCATCTTTGGTTGACACTTATTTTCAGGAAGAATACTATTCTACCCTAAACATATTGAAACTGTATTCTATATGCACTTCCTGACTAAATAATCTCTATTTTATCTGGCTTAAATTTCAATGCATTATCTCTCATCTAGTTCTAGATACTAGAAAATCTCAGACACTTCACAATAGCAATAGCATTCAGACTTATATACTGCTTCACAGTGCTTTAAAGCCCTCTCTAAGCAGTTTACAGAGTCAGCATATTATCCCCAACAATCTGGGTCCTCATTTTACCCACCTTGGAAGGATGGAAGGCTGAGTCAACCCTGAGCTGATGAGAATTGAACTGCCGAACTGCAACCAGCAGTCAGCAGATGTACCTTGCAATACTGCATTCTAACCATGGCTCCATGGCTCAATACAACAGGATTTAATACATTATAATTCTTAACTTACTAAAGTACTTTAAACTGTCTCTTGAAACTTACATCTATAGAGCCAATCTGCCTCTCCCACCATCCAATTTAAACCTTACATCAATCTAGCCACCATGCATTTGATAAATGAGCTGCAACTCACAAAAGTTTATGACTTAATAATATTTGTCAGCTGGAGGTGGTGCCATTTTCATTCTGCTTTTTGCCTCCATAGATTAACTTGGCTCCGATCATACAATATCAAATGCTGATCTAGAATATTAGCAACTTCCCTAGTAATTAGATGAAAAAGGAAGAGCAGCCAGTTATCTGCATATTGATGTCGAAGTATTCCAAGGCTTTTCATGGTCTCTCCCAGTAGTTCCATGGGCTACTACTCAACAGGGCATAAAACTGGCTTCTAAGGAATAACATCAGTCCCCCAGCATACTCCATTTGAAAGGGACTAACCCATACTTGATGCCAAATTAAAATGAATTATTAATAAAATGATTATCTTGAAATTAAAAAATGCTTAATACGAACAGGGAAATACTAGTAATACTATCTCTTAGAGTTAATGACTACTGCTACTATTCATATGATGGAGAAGATGCCTACCAAGCAAGTTTCTAATGACATTATCCTTTCAATGAATTCCAGTATTATTAGATTTCATGACTGACTGATTTCTATATTAGGAAGTGTTTGATGAGAAACATGTTATACTTTCATACATTACTGGAGCTTAAATTACACTCTTTAAAAAGCAAGAGTTGCTGTATTCTGCCATAAGGGAGAAAATGTAAAATGCATATTGCCAGCTGAAGACTGTTGCAAACTTTCAAGATTTCGAAGTTCCTGAGGATGCAAGATGGTTAGAAAGGGATGGGGAAAACAGAAGGAATACAGCTGATCTTAGAGCCATGTCTAATTAGATAACATCATATAGAATGAGAATTTGCAAATGGGGTCTTCAGTTTGTCTTATAGCTGATCAGTTATCACATCAAGGAACAAAGTATATTTTAAGAGCAATCAAAAGCATTTCAAGAGTATCAATTTTTCATGTCATTTTCATTTCAGAACAAATAACTGACAGAACAAGAACCAAAATTCCTACTATTTTGATCAATCAATAAGAAATATGACCCAATTCTGGGTTGTATCAGAACAAGAGTGTCTCTTTGGCTTGTGTTTGTCTCTCAATACAAGCACCACAAAAATCAACTATATTAAAAAGGATACACTGCATGTTTGTCATCAGAAGCTTCTAGTGGGATATACAACTGGATATAAGCAATTTATCATGATGCTTGTATTTTAACAATAAAGTCAAAGTCATCTCTGAAGTCAATATTCCCAAAACTGTGACACTTCACTGTTATTGATGACAAAAAATAGTTCATTAAGTTTGATGCTACAATTTGTGATACAGTGGTTTAAAAAATAGGCTTATCTTTTTTTATCTCTTACCTTCCAGGCTGCAGTCATACCAATTACATTTGTTCAGGCAAAATATGCATTGCTTAAATAGGTAATGTAGAAAAGAGGGGATTATACATTACAAAAGACCAGTCTTCTTACATCTTTATGCAAATTTAAAATAAGCTTCCCATTCCTTTCAAATTCAGGTGAGTTTATTAACAAATCCATGTCTTTCCTTTTTAACTAGCTGTTGTGTTGTTATTCATAGAAATAAATGCTTCAGAGACAGGGAAGATATATCTTTCTGCCTCAAGCAGGATCTTCTTGGCGAAAGCAGAGATGCTTACTTAAGCATGTTGCAGAAAGAGAATTTCCCTCTGTCCCTTCCACTCCATGTGAAAGCGCTTTTGTTCTTTTGAAAACTGCAAGCAGTTCTTTGGGAAAAGGTAAGGCAAGAAGCTAAGAACCGAGTCTAAGGAACAGCATTCCTGGACTTCGGAGAAAAAGAGGTTTTCTGTTTATTAATGCTGGAAAAAAGTCCTAGAGTCTCATGGGGTTTTCCCCCCTTTCTCTTGGAGATCATTGTAAAATACTAATCTGCCTTCCGTTGAGGACCTATATACTGCACTAGTCAAAAAGAGGGCTGTGAAATTATTTATAAACCCCTCACATCCTGGACATAAATTGTTTCAACTTCTACCCTTAAAACGACGCTATAGAGCACTGCACACCAGGACAACTAGACACAAGAACATTTTTTTCTCCAAACGCATCACTGTGCCAAACAAATAATTCCCTCAACATGTCAAACTATTTACTAAGTCTGCATTACTATTACTATTAATCTTCTCATTGTTTCTATCACCCATCTCCTCCCACTTATGATTGTATGACTGTAACTTGGTTGCTTGTATCCTTATGATTTATATTGTTTCCTAGTATGATTTGATTGCATATTTGTACTTAATGACTATCATTAAGTGTTGTACCTTATGATTCGTGATGAATGTATCTTTTCTTTTACAGCATGTACACTGAGAGCATATGCACCAAAGACAAATTCCTTGGGTGTCCAATCACACTTGGCCAATAAAGAATTCTGTTCTGTTCTGTTCTGTTCTATTCTATTCGTCATTCAATCTACTTTATATTATTTTGCTTCTACCGGGGAAAGATTTTGTGTGATTAAAAAAAAAGTTTAACATTAAAATGGAACTTTACATTGATCTTTTCCTGTTTTTTAAAAAATAAAATTTGATTATTAATATTCTGTAAAATTGTTCTATCTTCTGAAAAAGGGAGGAAAAAAAATGAACTGATTTCCCTAGCCATATGCCTCAATACTGTATGGTCAGAAAATGATCATTTAATTTTTCAGTAAATAACAGAAAGGATGGGTCAGGCACAAGGAAGAACAAAACAATGGCAGCAAAATGCAGGAAGCCACAAGATTTAAGGCTAAC